AGGCAGAGATGACTGCCGGGAGTCTCTAGTCACAACTCTGCACATGGGCGGCACAGATAAGATGGTCGTTTATGCACTGTGATCTAGGCAGCAATGCAATCTAGTCCTGTCTGTGCGATTGAGTAGCCTTTTCGAGGAGACACTCTGCTCACTCCACATGACGAGAGGGCTAGAAAATGTGCCCTAAACATAGCCTGCCTAAAGTACCAACCTGACTGAGCAGTCGCACCCTGTAAAGTCATCCTTATGCTGTCGAAAACACAATCATAATCACAGATCAAACCCAAAACAAATTATACAACCTCTTATGGTCGCTGCACGGAATGTCAGGACCCTTCTGGATACTGGCACAAATGCGCGTCCTGAAAGAAGAACAGCCCTTGTGGCAAAAGAGCTGGCTAGGTATAACATCCACATAGTAGCTATTAGTGAGTCCCGGCTCCTAGACGAGGATCGACTCGGCTATATCTTCTTCTGGAAGGGTAAGCCTGCTACGGAGAGAAACCGCATTTATGGAGTTGGCTTTGCCATCCGCCAACGCATCCTACACGGGCTAACTGGAATGCCTGTCGGGATCAACTAGCGCCTCATGACGCTCCGAGTCACACTGAATCACTCACATCATGCTCTCACTTCACGTCGCCCCAAAATGGCAAAGGCAACAAGCCTCCAGAATAGGTTTTAACACATAAGCATCTGGAGGATCCAGTGGTAGCACATGCTTTCAGAGAACAGCTCGAACATGGGCTGATAAACAACCCAACAACAAACAACCCAAATCCCAGTGTTGATTGCCGTATTCTCGACACTTATGACAAAAACCTGCAGAGACCCTCAGCCAGACCGATAGAATACACCAGGACTGGTTCGATGAAAATTACCCGGAAATCAATCTACTCGTCCATGATAAACGTGCTGCCTTAACTGACTGGCTGAATAACCCTCAGTCTCAGACCAAAGTTGATACCCTCCACAAGAAGAAAGCGACATCTAAGGAAAGACTGGTTTAAAAATAAAACTTGTGAAACACAAAAACTTGTAGATCAACACAAAATGCACAAATCTTTCAATTCCACTAAAGCATTTTATGGGCCAATCACTCACGGCGCTCATGAGACGGTAACTCCATAATCAAAGACAATGACGGCCTCCTTCAACGCTGGGAAGAGCACTACCATTCGCTGCTCAACCGAAACACCGATGTGGATGTCCTGACTACCCAGCAGATCCCTCAGCATCCAGAGCTGTCCCATCTCAGCAATCCTCCATCCCTGGATGAGGTAACTACTGCCATCAAACAGATGAAAAATAACAAAGCTTTAGGGCCTGATGGAACTCCAGCCGAGGTGTATAAAGCAGGAGGACCTCTGCTTACCAGCAGTCTCCACTCTCTCCTGGAGAATATATGGGAAAAGGAGGAAATCCCCCAAGCTCTTAAAGACGCCTCCTTCGTCGATATTTATAAGAACAAGGGAGACCGGTCAGACTGTGGCAACTACCGCGGGATCTCCCTGATGTGCTTAGCTGACAAGATTATCGCCCAAGTCCCCCTGAACAGACTTCTACCTGAGGCTTTAGACATTCATGTTTCACCTGTGACATAGATCTTTGCTGCTCGCCAGATACAGGAAAAGTGCAGAAAACAGCGTCGTGAGCTGTACATAGCATTTATCGGTCAACAAGAAAGCCCTTTGGTGGACCCTCATCCGGTTTGTCTGCCCACCAAATCTCATCACCATTGTGAGGCAACTCCAAGACGGCATGAATGGCAGTGTCCTGCAGAATGGCACCCAGTCTGAGTTCTTCCCCATCCAAATGGGGATAAAACAAGGATGTGTACTGGCAACAACTCTCTTCTATTTTTTTAGCTGCCTTCCCTACTCGTGCTAGTGCCAATTTAGCCGGCGGGGTGGACATCGAGTACCGGATGAAGGTCTTATCAAAATAAGGCGACTCCAGGCAGGAACAAAGGTGTTGGCAGCTTCCATTACTGATCTTCAGTATGCAGTCGACCTCACCCTTGTCACTCACACTGGATGCAACTTACAGGAGATCCTGAACACCTATGCATATGCACACTTTGAACTTGAGGTGTATGGGCATAAAACTCAGATTATCTTTCAGCCTGCCCCTGGTTCAGCCACACCTCCACCATTCATCCAGCTTAACGGTACTACCCTCTCTAATGTTGCCCACTTTCGGTATCTGGGCTCCCACCTGTCCACCACTGCGGACATCGATGAAGAGATTCAACTTCGGATGAGATGTGCATCTCTTAGCCTTTGGCAGACTCCGCACGCGTGTCTCAGCTGCAGGGAGCTGAAATTATATACAAAGTTACACCACAACACCATCACAACCACAACACCATCTCAACTATAACACCATCACAATGCTAACAATACTACAACAAAAACCACACTACAACCACAACACCATCACAACCACAACACCATCTCAACTATAACACCTTCACAATTCTAACAATACTACAACAGTAACAACACTAAAACCACAACATCATCAGAACCACAACACCATCTCAACTATAACACCATCACAATTCTAACAATACTACAACAATAACCACACTAAAACCACAACACCATCACAACTACAACACCATCACAACCACAACACCATCACAACAACACTATCACAACCACAACACCATCTCAACTATAACACCACCACAATTCTAACAATACTACAACAGTAACAACACTAAAACCACAACACCATCACAACTACAACACCATCACAACCACAACACCATCACAACAACACCATCACAACCACAACACCATCTCAACTATAACACCATCACAATTCTAAATAATACTACAAACACAACCACACTAAAACCACAACACCATCACAACTACAACACCATCACAACCACAACGCCATCACAACAACACACCATCACAACCACAACACCATCTCAACTATAACACCATCGCAATTCTAACAATACTACAACAATAACCACACTAAAACCACAACACCATCACAACTACAACACCATCACAACCACAACACCATCACAACAACAACACCATCACAACCACAACACCATCTCAACTATAACACCATCACAATTCTAACAATACTACAACAATAACCACACTACAACCACAACACCATCACAACCACAACACCATCACAACCACAACACCATCTCAACTATAACACCATCACAATTCTAACAATACTACAACAGTAACCAAACTACAACCACAACACCATCACAACCACAACACCATCTCAACTATAACACCATCGCAATCAATACTACAACTATAACCAAACTACAACCACAATACCATCACAACCGCAACATCATCTCAACTATAACACCATCTCAACAATATCACTACCACAACTATAACACCATCACAATTCTAACAATACTACAACAGTAAAATCCCTACAACCACAACACCATCTCAACTATAACACTATCACAACCACAACACCATCTCAAGTATAATACCATCACAATTCTAACAATACGACAACAGTAACCACACTACAACCACAACAACATCACAACTACAACACCATCACAACAACAACACCATTACAACCACAACACCATCTCAACTATAACACCATCACAACCACAACACCATCTCAACTATAGCACCATCAAAACCACAACACCATCTCAACAATAACACCATCACAACCACAACACCATCTCAATTATAACACCATCACGTTACCCCAACAATACTACAAACAGTAACCACACCACAACCACAACACCATCCCAACCATAACACCATAACAACCACAACACCACTACAACCACAACACCATCACAACCACAACACCACCACAACCAATAAATACCATCATAAACTATTAAATTAATCATCTCAACTATAACACCTTCCACAACCACAACACCATATCAACCATAAGCACCACCACAACCACAACACCATCCTCAACTACCAATTCATCACAAACCAAAAGTCAAACATCTCAACTATAACACCATCACAACCACAAATAATTCATCTCAACCATAAACCATCACACCCTAACAATACTACAAAAGTAACCACACTAAAACCAATAACACAATCACAACACCATCACAACCACAACAATCATCTCAACCACAACACCATCTCAACTATAACACCATCACAATTCAAAACAATACTAGCAACAGTAACCACACTACAACCACAACACCATTACAACCGACAAATTTAATTCACCACAACACCATCATAACTATAGCAACTATATCACAACCACAACACCATCATAACTATAACACCATCACAAACCACAACACCATTTCATAACTATAGCACCATCAATAGTCCGACAACAATTATCTCAACCATGTTCGACCATCCAACCATTAACACCACCAGCAACCACAACCACAACACCATCTCAACTATAACACCATCACAACCACAACACCATCATAATTATAGCACTATCACAACCACAGCACCATCTCAACTATAACACCATCACAACCACAACACCATCACAACCACAACACCATCTCAACCACAACACCATCTCAACTATAACACCATCACAATTCTAACAATACTACAACAGTAACCACACTACAACCACAACATCATCACAACCACAACACCATCTCAACTATAACACCATCACAATTCTAACAATACTACAACAGTTACCACACTACAACCACAACACCATCACAACCACAACACCACAACCACAACACCATCTCAACTATAACACCATCACAACCACAACAGCATCATAATTATAGCACCATCACAACCACAACACCATCTCAACTATAACACCATCACAACCACAACACCATCATAACTATAGCACCATCACAACCACAACACCATCTCATCACAACAAACACTTCCACAGTCTTGCTTCACCCAGTTCCAACCTGTTTCTATTTTCCAAAGGTTAATAATGATATGAAGTGTAAACGAATACATTTACTGGAGTTATCATAAAATTTAGTTATGGAAAAAAAGTTCGTTCGGGAGTTTGTGCTCTTAAAGGAGCTTAAAGATTTGCCCTCGGATTCAAGGCCAGTGAATGCATCTGAGAGTAACATTAAGCCAATGACAATATTATTGGAAATTACCGTCGATAACCAGAAGGTTCAAATGAAAATGACAGAAAAGGACGAAGGGTCGATGGATGAGACAGAGGAAGACCGGTCGATGGACGAGAAAAAGGACGAAGGGTCGATGGACGAGAAAAAGGACGAAGGGTCGATGGACGAGAAAAAGGACGAAGGGTCGATGGACGAGAAAAAGGACGAAGGGTCGATGGACGAGAAAAAGGACGAAGGGTCGATGGACGAGAAAAAGGACGAAGGGATGGACGATGACAGGGTCGATGGACGAGACAAAGGACGAAGGGCCTTCGAAGGACGAGAAAGGACGAAATGGACGAGACCGAAGAAGGGTCGATGGACGAGAAAAAGGACGAAGGGTCGATGGACGAGGAAAAAGGACGAAGGGTCGATGGACGAGAAAAGGACGAAGGGTCGATGGACGAGACAAAAAAAGGACGAAGTGGCCTGGATGGACGAAAGTAAGCACGTCCGCCGAAGCGGGCTGGATAAGACGTAGCGGCTGGCGGGAAGCACGAAGGGTCGATGGACGAGACAAAGGAAGAAGGGTCGATGGACGAGAGGACGAAGGGTCGATGGATCAGGAAAAAAGGACGAAGGTCGATGGACTGGTGAAAAAGGACGAAGGGCCGATGGACGAGACAAAGGACGAAGGGTCGATGGACGAGAAAGGACGAAGGTCGATGGACGAGAAAAGGACGAAGGGTCGATGGACGAGAAAAGGACGAAGGGTCGATGGACGGCGAGCCAGACATAGAAGGGTCGATGGACGAGAAAAAGGACGAAGGGTCGATGGACGAGACAAAGGACGAAGGGTCGATGGACGAGACAAAGGAAGAAGGGTCGAAGGAACGAGAAAAAAGGACGAAGGGTCGATGGACGAGACAAAGGAAGAAGGGCCGATGGACGAGACAAAGGACGAAGGGTCGATGGACGAGACAAAGGACGAAAGGGTCGATGGACGAGAAAAAGTGACGAAGGGTCGATGGACGAGACAAAGGAAGAAGGGTCGATGGATGAGAAAGGACGAAGGTCGATGGACGAGAAAAAGGATGAAGGGTCGATGATCTAATAAAGGACGAAGGGCTGATGGATTTATATTAAAGGACGAAGGGTCGATGGACGAGACAAAGGAAGAAGGGTCGATGGACGAGAAAAAGGACGAAGGGTCGATGGATGGTGAGAAAAAAAGGACGAAGGCCGATGACGAGAAAAGGACGAAGGCTCATTGGGATGGACGTGAGACAAAGGACGAAGGGTCGATGGACGAGAAAAAAAGGACGAAGGTCGATGGACGAGACAAAGGAAGCTGAAGGGTCACGGACGAGAAAAAGGACGAAGGGTCATGGACGAGACAAAGGAAGAAGGGCCGATGGACGAGACAAAGGACGAAGGGTCAGATGGACGAGTATTGCTGACTAGCGGTCGATGGACGAGACAAGGACGAAGGCCATGGACGAGAAAGCGGACGAAGGGTCGATGGACGGCGACAAAGGACGCAAAGGGTCGATGGACGAGACAAAGGACGAAGGGTCAGATGGACGAGACAAAGGACGAAGGGTCGATGGACGAGACAAAGGAAGAAGGTCGATGGATGAGACAGAGGAAGAAGGGTCGATGGACGAGTGAAAAAGGACGAAGTATCGATGGACGAGAAAGGACGAAGGGCTGATGGACGAGACAAAGGACGAAGGGTCGATGGACGAGAAAAAGACGAAGGGTCGATGGACGAGACAGAGAAGAAGGTCAGATGGACGAGAAAAAGGACGAAGGGCTTCGATGGACGAGAAAAGGACG